CCGCTGTCAACTTTCCGCTTCAACCTTGCTATGGACGATGTCATGTAGATCGCGTTCACCTTCCTTCTTTCTTCTCCAACTTTTTCTCTTACTCCCATCTCGACCCCCATTACTAACCTTCCTTCTATAATTCCCAGCTTAATTGACAGCAAGCGAAATGCCACTGGAGTAGAACCATCTGCAGCCACCATCCCACCACACCTATCGGACGCCTATAGGCAAAAGTCCCTAATAAAGCCACGCTATCCCGTTTCCATGGCGACGTTCAACGTTCGCACTCTAAGACAAACAGATCAACAGGCTGCACTCGCACGCATCTTGGATACACTGGGTATTGATGTGTGTTGTGTGTCCGAAACTAGGATCAATGAACCTAATGGAGTTGTTGAATTAATTGCACCCGACTTATCCTCTCGTTATTGATTGTACGCATCCGGAGACGCCGATGAAGCACTCACAGGTCAAGCTGGTGTAGGTATCATTCTAAGCTCCAAGGCTGAACCATCGTTGGTTGATTGGATTCCGGTGAACAGCCGCTTATGGGCAGCCCGTTTGACGACATCAGCTAAGGTGGAGTCACGAAGTAGTACAACACGCCGTCTGTTTGTGATTTCCGCTTATGCTCCCACCGACTGCAGTTCAGATGTTGTCAAGGCCACATTCTATGACGAAGTGAACGCGCTACTACGCAGTGTTGCTAGTTCAGATATTATAGTACTTGCAGAGGATATGAACGCATAAATAGGGCGTCTGAGCTCTTCAGAAGCTCAGCTGGGTGGTAATTATGGGTTTAACTCCGAACGGACTGACAACGGTGAGCGTCTGCTGCAACTGTGTGCGGAGCATCAGTTGTTTCTTAGTAGCACTGCTTTTAGACACAGTGGGCGCCGAAGTGCCACTTGTCGTCCTCCTGTAGCTGGCCAGCGATGGACCCAAATTGACCACATAGCCATAAGTTACAGATGGCGTGGTTCCATCCTGGATTGCCGCTCATACTGGAGTACCTGTGTCGACTCTGATCATGCCTTGGTACGCTGTCGTTTCTCCATGAACTTTACCGGGAGGTGCACCAAGCGTGCCCTACGATTGGCGACTGCGAAATTGTCTCAGTCTTCGGTCAGGCAAGCCTATCAAGAGGCGCTGCGTATCGAACTTCCGCTGTCTTGTCCTAATGACACTGCGCTTCAGTGGAGTCGGATCTCGGCCGACATGCACTACGCTGGAGCATAAGCTTGTGGCACTACCAATGGACACCGCACCAGTCACTGGATATCTGAGAAGTCGGTGAACCTGTTGGAATCTAGAAGACACCTCCCGGCTGGCTCTGAACACAATGTAATTAGACGAGCTATTAGGCGTGAACTAAAGCGGAGCCTACGTGCTGACAAGGAAGCTTGGTGGACCAATAGGGCTCAAGAAATGGAGAAGGCAGGGGCTGTAGGCAATTACCGCAAGCTCTTCCAGCTAATCCGCACCACTGGTCCCAGGAAACCAGGCGTCAGTGAGACAGTAAGAGACAGCGCGGGTGCGCTGGTTCACAATAAGGAGCGCCGTATGGCTCATTGGGCGGAACACTTTCAAGATCAGTTCAGTTGGCCCCCTGCTCCCGGACCTCTTCCTACTCAGGTGATGCAGGACGAGTCATGGACGGTTAGTTTAGAGCTTCCGTCGGAGGCCGAGGTCCGAACCGCAATTACAGCCCTTAATCGTTTTCGTGCCGCTGGCCCGGATTCCCTAGCACCTGCACTATTTAAGGATGGTGGTGAGGTCCTCTGCAAAGCACTGACATCCTTATTCGAATGTATCTGGAAGGAAGTGTCCCGGCTAATTGGAGCGAATCGATTATAGTGGCAATATACAAGAAGGGCAGTCGCACAGACTGTTCTAACCACAGGGGTATTAGCCTAACGCCAGTTGTGACAAAATTACTGGCGTCGATTCTCGTTCGTCGCCTCACTGCGGAACGGGAATCCCGGATTAGGGAAGAGCAGGCCGGTTTCCACCCAGGACGAGGCTGTATAGGCCATATATTCACTTTGCGGCAGGTGCTATAGCAACGCCACGCGTACCGCAGACCGACCATAGCTGTGTTCCTCGATTTCAACAGTGCGTTCGATTCAGTCGATCGATCGATTCTGTTCGAAATACTTGCGCGGAAAGGTGTTCCCACGAAATATGTGAACATCCTTCGTGCTCTATACTCGAACACTACAGGCCGCGTCAGGGTCTATGGTGTCCTATCGGATAGCTTTCCGACCACAAGTGGCGTTCGTCAGGTTTGTCCGATCTCCCCATTTTTGTTCAATTTCGTCGTGGATTCTATCATGGAGTGTTCCCTTGGGGAATCTCACGATGCAGACGTTGAAGTGCTGCCTGGTGAAAGGTTACTTTATCTAGATTATGCAGACGATATCGTCTTGCTTTTCAGCGATGTTGGGGCGGCACAATCAACCCTGAATAGCCTGTCCAGAGTGGTCCCATTATTTAGTATGCACTTCGCACCTTCAAAGTGCAAAGTGTTGCTTCAGGACCACCAGCCACTTGATGACCCCTTGACGCTTGCTGACGAGGAACTTGAGGTGGTCGATCATTCCACTTATCTTTGCAGCTGCATCAACAGTGGTGGGCGCATAGAAACTGACGTTAGCTCACGCATTGCATAGGCCAGAGCTACCTTCTTGAACCTGCGGCATCTTTGGCGACAGAAGGGAGCTTCCTTTCGTTTGGAAGGCCATGTATACAAGGCCACAGTGAGGGCCTTTCTGCTCTATGGTAGTGAAACTTGGCCCCTTCGGTCTGAAGATCTGAGGCGCCTTCAAGTCTTTGATCATCGTTGTTTGCGAAGCATTGCTGGTGTCGGATGGCACCAGCGTGTCCGCAACGATGATGTGCGTAGGCGAGTACTAAGAAGTGATAATCATGCTAGCTCCCTAGAACAACAGATAGCACTGAATAAGTTGCGTTGGCTCTGGCACGTACTACGTATGCCTGGTCACCGCTTACCTAGGAGGGCCTTGTTTAGCCTGCCAGATGTGGGGTGGCGCAAGGCTCGAGGTGGACAGAAGTTGACTTGGCAGCGGCAAATGTAGTCACTGACTGCCAAACTGGGTGCCGTTGGTCCGTCTCGCCTTCCGGGCTGGAGTCCACGTGACTCACCTTGTGCTTGGCTCGAGACTTTACAGGACATGGCTCGCAACCGACACCAGTGGCGCGTCTGCTGCTGTCTCCTATTCGAATTGCCTGTTTAAAGTGTGTTTGGTGCTGAGTTATCTGCGAGGTAATGGCTGATTATGACGCGTGGCAGTGAAAGCCGCAAGGAAGCTGTCTCGCCGATGCCGCTTTATCTTTGCACGATAGCCAGCTGTTTGTGACGGTATGTTGTTAACTCATGGTGTGTGTGTGTGTGTGTGTGTGAATGTTTGCTTAGGGCATTAAGGTTTTCAGGTAAGCCCCTCTTCTCTCTATCTTATTCTCTATTTCATAGGCCCTCATGGTTGTATGGCAGCGAAGCATCAGTTTAAATGGCTGATTTACTGCTGTTGATGATGATGATGACTTAGGAGATGTGGAGTTGCTCCCAGGTGAACAACTTTTTGCTTGGTATATGTTGACGATATTGCCCTAATGTGTGACAGCTCTCAAAGTTGATAATCAGTAGTGGACAGATTAACATCGGTTGTCAACCGTTTTTCGCTTTACTTTGCGCGCTCGACGTGCAAAGCTTTCCTCCAATATTGACTGGGACCGCCTGCTGCGCTGACCCTTGGAATTGAAGACGAGATCACAACCCGTATAGCAAAAACACGAGACGCTTTTGCTAACCTTCGCCACCTATGGTGCTGCCACGACATCACTGTCTCCTTTAAGAGTAGAGTGTACATTGCAACCGTACGTTCGATCCACAGGTACAGTTGTGAAACCGGGCCCATTAGATTAGCAGTTTGACTCGCATCTGCTTGGAACAACACGTGCACAATGAGCGTGTTTGACGCCTTGTTTATGGTGCGAGAAGAAGGAGCGAACCGCTCAGCACGGCTAGTTCACGCACCAGGCTCCGATGGCTGGGCCACGTGTTGCGCATGCCAGTCCACCGACTCCTATGACGTGCTTTGTTTGCGTGCCGGGGTGCGAATGGAAGAAGAGGAGCAGTGGCCAATCGATGACTTGGACAAGAGGAATGAAGGCCTTTACTTCGAAGTTGGCCTCGGTTAGGACGTCTCAGCTCCCTGGATGCACTTGTTGACATGGCTAGGAGCAGACCTCAATGGTGTTTTTGTTTTGAGTTTCTTTGTCCCTCTCCCTCCGGCTTAGCTTCCCCTCCAATCACGATCTCATTTATTAGGCATTATACGACTCTTTTACTGCACAATAGTCGGCTGTTGGCTCTCCGGAACGAGAGCCATCCTTTAATGGTGACTCATCCGACGTGCCTCTCGTTTTTTTTCTTTTCTATTGCGGCACAAAAGCTGTGGTGTTTTCCACCTGTAGTTAACGTGTATTATGGATGAATGAATGGAGTCCATCATGGAGTGTTCTTTTGCAGGCGTTGAGGCACCGTCTGGTGAAAGGCTAGCTGATTGTACTTACGCAGATATTTTATCTTGCTATTTACTGATTTTGGAGACGGCCCAACCAACCCGGAATAACCCCTTTAAAGTGGTCCCATTATTTGGTATGCGCTTCGCATCTTCGAAGTGCAAAATCCTGTTACAGGACCACCAGCCATTTGTTGACCCACTGACCCTTGATAGCCAGGAACTCGAGGTAGTTGATCAATATACTTACCTTGGCAGCCGAATCAGCAACGATGGTCCCTTAACCACTGAAGTTATTTCACGTATTGTGTTTTATGAATTTTCGTCATTCTTTTCTTGTGACGGCCACTCTTCAGTGTAGGACCGCTTAGTTTTCGCGATAGTGGTGGTGACTGCAACGCGTTCGGTTTCATCACACTTTTCCCATATTGAGTTCACTGTCCTTCATATTTTCTTCCTTTACAGCGAGCTCAGTCTCATCGTTCCGGATGTTGTCCACGACCCTACTCTTCCTCGGACGGAGGACCACAAATGTCGCATTTGCGGGAAACAAGAGGCGGTGTTCTTTCAATCTCAAACTCTCAAGGCCGAGGAAAATATGCGGTTGTACTACGTGTGCACAAACTTAGAATGTTTGCACAAGTGGACTGAATGAACCCTCGGTTGTTGTGTGACGAATTTTGAGTCATTGCATGTACCTCGTGGTTTCTCCACTTCACTTGTGGTGGCTGCAAAGCAAGCCGACTTTCAGCGTTCTATCTCAAAAGTCACGACAGCGGCATTTTCGGTGAGAACGGCTGTACTTGACTCGCAGCCCGACCAACGCAATCACAATCACGTTATGTGGTCAATGCGGGCTTCTATTTGCCTAATCTTTCTTCAACAAAACGCGTTGATTGTACAGTATTCAAATTGGTTATTCGTCTTGGGAACAGCTGGTGATCAGCAGACAGGCGATCATATGCACTCGTTCGCTTTATCGCAGACAATTAGCGGCTTTGATCATCGGCATCGATTTCCTCCATTTCACATGGCCTGTGTACGTCTCGACACACTCTGATAGCTAAATGACGCGCAACACAAAGTATAAGGCAGCTGTATATTGTATGTTACCCTCCTCGAAAACACGGCACTTCACGACTAGTTTCGGACTTGTTCAATCTCTTTCGGTGCTCCTCGAGCCCGGGGAGTCTTCCATATCAGCCGAAACCTATACTTCTTAGTCACTGAGTCGCCGCTGGCCATGATTAATTGCATGTGTCATTTTGAAGCACTCGCTGTGTTTGGACAGATTGCGCCTCCCGGTGTCAATGTGAACCGCGATTCCCATCGAGGTGAATCTTGGTCAGTTCCATTACTTGAATCATAACTGATGAAGTAGATGAATATTGAGTGTTACCGTCACTGAGATAGCGCGTCGCAATCCATTTACACGTAATGACCCATACAAAATGGTAAATACTTACTTCTACACTCGACAGTGTTATTACGTCTAACAGTAAAATGAAATACGGTTGAATATTCAAGTTGTTCACTCTCTTCCCTACTGTCAAAACGGCCGCTCTATTATTGTTCTTCAGGCGCACGGTGACTCACGGGAATTTAAATCTGCTGCAGCGCTTCGAATTCTAACCACCGAATAGATAGTAATGGCTACATCCCAGCAGAGTAATTCCACGGTTACATCGTGAATCAAGGAGAGAAGAATGTCCTCTACTGACACTGTTTATACTGACAGCTAAAGGTGGACACTGAATTGCGCATACGACTTTATGACACATTAGATTACTCAACTAGAACGTTTTCATAGATGAGTGTACACACTGAGCCCTGTTTATCTGGGACCTAGATGCTGCAGGGGTGTAGTTTTAAAAACTTGGCTTTGGAACAAATAATACTCATCGTAAGTAAAGTTGGGCTGGGTATGGAAATCAGAACAGCATGAGTTCGAGGCAGAAGCAAATGTGCGGAGGATTTTATATTAGGAGTGACAACGTACCATACCAGGCCGATTCGAAGAGATGTGGTATGGAAATTCGAAAAATCGCTATGTTTGTGAAACTTTCGTAATCAAACAACATTTTCAGCGCGAGAACAGTGTTACGCACTGTTGTATCCCTAAAAAGCAGCAGACCAGGGCAGCACGGGAAGGTATGTATGTAGTAAACTGTCCGCACACACGCGCAGTCCAATTACATCGATAAGGGTTCGAATTGCAACCAATCAAACGCAAGATCACATGATAGGCCAACGTGTGCTAACTAGAAGTGTGAGTAGGATAAGCGACTCGAGGGCAAAAACAAAGCAAAGTATTTGAACACGACTTTGTCCCCACCTCTGTTCGTAAAAATATAGGCACTAAATGTCCATGAACGATCTAATTTAATGTCAGCGCCTTGAAAAATTGTCATGTGTTGTTATCCGTTAAAGCGTATCGGTTTACAGGGCGGCGTATCCGACCGGAACGTCGTAAGTTTGTGTTAATTTGTACCGAGCGCCGTGTTGTAGGTATGTCCGTCTGTTTAATAGCACGTTGGGAAAACGCTGTATGCAGCCGTCTTGCATTCATCCTTGTCCCGTCAGCCAACTTTTAAGTTCTAGGCACGCACACGGGTCGGCGGTCCGAACACATTACCTCCCTTCCTGGAATAGGGTAGTCTCACACGAACAAATGTCCCTGGAGGATAAGTTCTCCAAACGCGTCTATATTTAGTCTGGTCAACAGCCCGTCTTTCGTATTCTCGATGACCAGCGGTTTCTTCGAATGTAAAGGGTGCGTTTAATCGCGTTCGAATTGTTCGCCCTAACATTAGCTCCGGGGGAGTTGTTGCCGTTGCAGTATGTGGATTGGTTCTATACACCTCCAATGCAGATACCAGCACATCATCCCAGGATTCTCCCGAAAGCCGAAGGCCTTGTAGCGATTCTTTCAAAATACGATTAAGTCGTCCGACGAATCCATTCGCTACAAGATTATAAGGTACAGTACCCGTGTATCTGATACCATTGCGCCTTAGGAATTCAGCGTGCTCGTTACTTCGAAACTGTGGGCCGTTATCAGTGACTATTTCTTCCGGCAAATCGTATTTTGCAAACAAACAACGGAGCCACCTTATGATGACGGCTGTAGTTACGTCCCCGCAAAGAATAGCCTCTGGCCATTTGCTGTAGAAAAATGTAGCTACTAGCACGTTTCGCTTTTGCGGGGGTGCATTGGCAAACTGGCCCTTAATATCGATGGCAGTTTTTGCCCATGGTTTCATTGGGTACATGATAGGTTGGACTGGAGCATTCAGCAGCCTCGCACTCTTATCGAATTGTTAACAGACGTAACATTCCCTAATAACCGCCTCACACTGGAATTCAACTTCGGCCACCAATAGTATTGTCGTATCCGCGCTTTTGTTCGCACAATTCTTGGATGACCTTCATGCACACATGCAACCACCAGAAGAATAAGGGTTGTAGGGACTACAAACTGCTCGCCTCTAATAGTGCATTTGCTCACAGTAGAAAGCTCATGCCGTAGGGCATAGTATGGAAGTAACTCAGGTTGGATCTTGGTACGACTGGGCCATGAAGTGGATATGTACTCCCGAAGCTTCGCTAAGACAGGTCTGTCAGTGTGCTCTCATATCAGGTCAGATGTTATTTTAGGTTTTCCGTCTGCTAGCTGCGTTATCATTTTTACCTCCTATAATTCCTCGTTTTCCCTTCGTTGGATGTTGGGAATCTCCATGGGGCATCTGCAAGTTGGTTAAAGCACCCTGGCACGTATTTTATTTCTTGATCATAGTTCAATAAACGTGAGTACCAGCGACTGAAGCGTACCGGCTTTTACCTTTGTTACCGCGACTTTGTAACGTTGTAAGGGCAGAACGATCGGTGCGCAAAGTGAATCGATGTCCGAATAAGTAAAAGGGCCATTTCTCACATACCCAGACGCATTCGATGGCCTCCTTCTCGCCAGTGGAATAATTTCTTTCAGTATCAGACAGTGTACGTGATGCGTACACAATCATTTTCTCCCTGCCATCGCGCAGCTGGGACAGAACTGCACCCAAACCAACATCTGAAGCATCCGTGGAAACAAACGTTGGACAGTGCTCATTGAAGATCGCTACCGTGGGAGTGGATACAATCATCGCTCGTATGGTCATGTAAGCATTGTCTTGTTCAGTGGTCCAACGAAACTCCTGATTTTGCCGCGTCAACCTCCGTAACGGCTCGGTAATAGTCGCAAAATTCGGTACATGTGGAAAGTAATAACACAGGCCCAAGCATTGTTTCATCTGTGTAACATTGCATGGTTTTGGACAATCGAGAATGGCTCTGGTGTTCTGCACATTAGGCTTAATACCCAAGGTAGAACTAACATATTCAGTAAACTCGACCTCCGTTACAGCGAATTGGCATTTACTGGTATTCAGGCGGAGATTTAGTTCATTCAGTCTATGAAGGTTTTCCTGATGTTCGGTGGGGTTACTACCAAAGACACAAATGTCATCCATAAACACAGCACCTCTTATAAGATCTGATAACAATAGAATAATAAATTGCTGCCAAGCTGATGGGGCACTACTAAGGCCCATTGGTAGCACTTTGTATTAATACAAACCGTCTTGCGTGAGGAAAGCAGTCAAATGTCGACAATCTGGAGTCAGTGGCATGTGGTAGTATGCACTGCGAATATCCAGCTTTGAGAAAAGTTTGACGTCTGAAAGCTTAACCGTCATCTCGTCGAGGGAACTTGTCCACATTTATATGTCGATTAAGCGCTCGAAGGTTGGTGCACAGACGAATAGAGCCATCTTTCTTTCAAACGGCAACTAGTGGATGAACCCATTCAGAACACTATGGGTTGTATCAAGTCTTCCGTGACCATATTTTTTAAAGCTTGCGACAACGCCTCTCGCTTGGCCAGAGGTACAGGCCTAGGTTGAGAAATGCTGAACGGTTTGTAATCCGCGCCCAACCGAACGCGGTGCATTGCTTTTGGGACTCTACCAATATTCGGAAGAAAGAGATTTGGGTAACTGGAACGTAACGAATGAGGGTTGACGCTGGCAATGGTCATCCGGCTGGCACAGGGTAATACGTTCAACGTGACCATGGCATTACGTCCCAATAGAGGCTTACTATCAGTTTTAGAGGCGTAAACTCCAACTATACGCTTCCTGCTGTTTATAAGAAACATTGAAACCGTAACAAAACCGAGTATGTGGACATCACCATTGGAGTAGCTGCTGAAAGTGTAAGCGGAAGGATGTACAGTTAACTGACCAAAATGCTGTTTGTAAAAGCAATATGGCACAACTGTGATTGGTGACGCAGAATCTAGTTCCATTTCTAGGCCAATGATTTTGTTTCTAACTTCTAAAAAGCACGCGACGAATATCTGGCGAGACAGTTTGGATTCTTGAGTTGGCGACGAAAGTGGATGCTCGCATTCCTTAACGACATATATGCATTGTTCAGTGGTGACCGGAGAAGCTCTAGAGTCATTTATAGAACCAACTAGAGAAATTGCGCGGGAACGACAAACCCGAGCAAAATGACCGGCCTTACCGCAATTCCGGCAGATTTCACTCTTTGCAAGACATGAAATCATTTGCACGTTCTTCAGCACTTCCACAACGGTAACACTTATTTCTA